GTATGTACTCTCCCGTATTATAGTTTTGTTTGCGTGCGTCTTGAAAACGTTAATTTCAGAATGTGGAAACGTTGGCGACATACGTTTCTGTAACAAATGCCGTAGTTTTTTGTTTTGTTTTGTGTTTCTTTTGTTGCTGTCACTAATCTATTCTCCAAAATTAGAAGAATTAATGGGAGACTGGGATTAGCATCCATGTTTGTGTAATATGAATAACATAAGTAACGTTGTGTTAGCGAGTGATCTTTTCGGTGAACTGCTCGGTAATAGGTCTGCCAGACGTACGATATCACTCGCATTATTATTACGCTCAGGTGCAGCTCACATCGAAGGGATTAGTGTATCGCTTCCACTAAATTGATGTATTTTTATTTATTTATTTATTTATTTATTTATTTATTTATTTTATCACACGGCATCATACATTAGAATCCTTTTCATGTTTATCAGGGGAAAATCAATTACCGTGTAGTTAGTAGTGTCGTGGTAAAGGGTCCTTGGGGATGAAAAGTTATTTTTTCTTTTTTTTCTGACTTTGGATACACACATGCTCGTGCGCTCGCGCACAAACACATACACATACACGCACATACACATATGTCCATATATATTTGTACGTATTAAACATATACATATTTATATATACACGTGTACACACACACACACACACACACACACACACACACACACACACACACACACACACACACACACACACACACACACACACATATAAATAAAAATAAACCTGTGTGCTTAACATTTCTTGTGACGGTAGCATTCATCATTAGTGTAGCGTACATAATACATCCGTTTTACATACATGTAATTGAATCAAACCGGTTGTATCATTGGGATAGTTATTGGAATACTAAGCCTTTACATGAATCACCCATTACATCTTATATATATATATTTTCTTTCTTTCTTTGTTTCTTTCTTTACTCACTTCCAAGTAGTTTCTGTAGAATTCAAAGAGTTTTTATTTAAGGGGACACCTAGTCAATTAAGGGAACAGTTTTTAGCTACTGATATATTATGTGACAGGTCTATCCATGTCCTGTAATTAATATGACAGAAAGCGTCGAGAGAAAATGGACTATCGTCTCCGACTTTTTTCGTATATTTTCGTTGCGCACATTGTTTCGTTTATTCATTTTTGGTTCGTTGTCATTGTTATTGTTATTAATGTTGTTATTAATGTTATTGTCATTTTTATTAATGTTATTGTCATATTATTATTATGATGATGATGGTGATGATGATGATGATCATCATCATCATCAACATCATCATCATTATTATTATTAATATTGGTTTTGTTATCATAATTGCTATTATAACCCTCATTGTTATTATTATTATCATTATTATTACTGTTATTATGATTATGATGATTATTATTATTGTTATTATTATAGTTGTTATTATTATTATTATCATTATTATTATTGTTATTATTATAGTTGTTATTATTATTATTATTATTATTATTATTATTATTATTATTATTATTATTATTATTATTATTATTATTATCATCATTGTTATTATTATTGTTTTTATTATCATTGTTGTTGTTATTATTATTTTTATTGTTATTATTATTAGTAGCAGTATTACTAGTACTGTTATTACCATTATTACTATTATCATCATTATTACAATTATTAATTACACGATTAGTGTAAAAAAAACGATTCAGGTTATATATCTGTCATAAAGAAGAGAGAGATAAAAAAAATCATTATATCAATACATTGAACTTTTCCCTCCCTGAAGGTAAAGTGTAGCTATTGTAAGCTGAATACATGAACACGATACCCAAACTCATGAAGGCCAGCATCCATATTAATGCAATTGCTCTCGCGCAGGTGCATCATTGCTAGTTCCGTCAGCCATGCGTCCTTTTTTTGCGATTTTGGGGAAGATTATGTGAATTTTTGACTATCGTTCGACCGCTGTTGGTGTCTATTACAACCTGATTATCTGTTGATTTTATTTTTATCTGATCTTTGTCTCTGTATTTTAAGATTTGCTGTGATTGAAAGTGTCACTGTTCACCGTAACGAGGGCACGGGGCGTAGGAAGAGATAACATTTCCTTGACAGGATTATCACATTGATATGAAACCGATACCTCCACATTGCATTTTATACACTATTTGCTAAAGGTAAACGGTTCCCAGTTGTGGTTGTTTTACCGCCTTGTCGAAGAAATGAAAAGTGGTGTTCTGTATTCAGAACAGGAGAGGTTGAAGTCGGTAGTTGAGAACAAGGTTAGGTCATTCAGATTTTTTTTTCTTTTTTTTATATCTTAAACGTTCAGTTTTAAAAGCTCAATTGTTTGACGAGAGGCGTACGTTAAGTGACCATGTTATAGCTTTTGGTTTTGTTTAATGCATTCTGTCGGTGTGTATAGTTTGAAGACGTATTTACAGCATTATAGTGAAATTGTTTGAAGTCTGTAGGCCGTTTAAATTGCCCATCGGCAGTCAGTT